CTTTCCAATACCAAAACCTCGATAAAAAATCTCTAACAATAAATTAACGAAGAGAGAAGGGGGATGGAAGGATTATCTCTCCGTCGAGAGTATTTTAAAAATCAATATAAATTTATAAGTATTAATATTATTGTTATCATTAATTTGAATGATTAGTATTTGAATAATCAATTATAACAAAAAAGGATCAATGTTTTCATTAGTATATAGAGAGTATTTTAAAGACCAAAAGGAGACAGCAAGTTTAAAGTCAAATAAAGTCTCAAAAAAAAAAAAAAAAAAAAAAAATTAAAAATTTGGCCATTGGAAATTTTCCATTTTCCAAAATTTTAACATTCTATTAAATTCAGGAGCTTGTCTGATCAGCAAATGTGGAAAAATTACACAAAGCCCTTGCATAATTTCGCCAAAATTACAAAGAGGCCGCGATTAAGATCCTGAAGATTGTCATTTGTAAACCAAGAAATTGGGTTCCTCAGAAAGTAAATTTTCAGCTTTGGGCTATAAAGAGCTGTTTTAATGGAGCGGTTTCAAGTTTATGAAAGTAAATGTGAATGCGGCACTACAATTGCGAGCAGTCAGATCCAATTAAACAATATGGCTTTAGAAAATACGAATAGTAGCATTAAAATTAGGATGAATAATCCTCCTTAATTGTTTCAGGTCATTGGTCGATCATGGATAAGAGCACTTCATCTCGAGAGGACTTTTTCCGAAGATTCAAGAATGATTCGGCGGTGCTCCATAATGATATCGATGCATTTGCAACATCCATCACAGACGGGTCAGCTGCCTCTTCCAGCCAAAACAGCTCATCTTACTCATACAGTCGATCCACTCCTACAAGAGCATCTTTATCTAATATTGGATAAAGATGCTTTGACAGCTAGGATTAGATTTATGAAAGTACTTGCCAGGGGCTGGAGCTATCTTGCGGGCCGATTATTGAAAGCATAGAGCAGCCCGATACAACAACTAATTGGGATATATTACATGGTTAAGATAGGGCTATGTCTTGTCATATTCTATCGACACAGTTTCAATAATTGGGCCCCTGGCTGACCAAGAAGTCCAGCAGTCACAGGCTAATGAGACCGTGATGAACCGTTCTACCGCTCTAACCGTGACAGAATTGCTAAGCCATTGTGCAATTTACCCTGTTGCAATTCAACACAAGTGGACCAACTCAAAGATGTGCAAATACCGAAAACCTATGAAGAGGCAGTTACTGGACCACAAGCTGATCATTGGAAAGATGCCATCGATTTGGAGCTTCAAACCCTATCAGAACAGAAATCCTGGATAGTTGTTAAGAAACCTATAGAAGTAAGAGTTATAGGGTGTAAATGGGTTTTTACAGTGAAAACAGATGAATCAAATAGAATTGTCAGATTTAAGGCTCCCTTAGTTGCGTTAGGTTTTCGGCAGCAATATGGTGTTAATTATTTTGACGTTTCCAGTCCGGTGATGGAGAAGAAAAGTGTTCGCATTCTGGCTTGTATTGCAGTCGAAAATAATTGGAAACTTCACCATAAAGATATTGTGAGTGCTTATTTAAATAGTGAGTTAAGATGTATGATGTATGAGATGTGATCTCGTCACACTGCAAAGTTAATGATAGCGTGTAGCTACTTGTTGTACCAGAAGACCTGGTAGGCTCCAGTTTCATCCATATGCCAAATGATGTATGATTCAGAATATGAATTGAATGTGTTGTATTTTATGCACAGTGGAAGAAGATTTAATGATTCTTCTCCGTGACTTCCCTTCCTGGCAGGATCCAATCTCCTTTTTCATGCCCGTCAAAGGAGGTTTTTTAAGTAGAAGCTGTTTTGCAAAGATATCTGATTATTGACACCTGTGTTTCTATCTCTCTTTTCCTTTAACATTGCATTTGAGTAAGGCTGCCTCTAATTTGAATCATTTTTTGTTGTTTCCAGCAATTTCAAGGCTCACGAACAAAGATGCAACGACAGCGATGGTCTTAAAGTACATTGAAATGTGGTTGAAAAACGCAAAAAAGAGATTAGATACTGAGAGGAAGAAGCATGTCAAATCCAGTAGAACCTGCCGCGGGAAGTATTCTTAATTTTAAATAAATGAAACAATTAAGTTAACAGTTATTAAGCATTCCGTTTATTTATATTTTTTGTATTTTTGGTTGTGATTGTAAGTGTGTGAATTTAAGTATCCGTTAAAATACAAAAAGTTAAGCAATAAAATCTTGAATCTTCCTGGTAAAGTTTGCTATATTTTCCTCAGTCTCGCATGTGAATTTACCAAGGGTAGAGAATACTGTATAATATTACCTTGATTAAGGAGCAAATTTATTATTTATCTTTGACCTCAAAAGATTGAGAGGGATTAGGGGATGATCAACTAAATATGAGTATTTGGACTGTCTTTCTGTGAAATAGATTTCTTAAATTATTTCATTTGGTCATGATTACTCTTTTGTTAGTTCATTTTTCTCAAACAAAATCATCTATTTCCCATATTACAGCAATTTAATCTTTCTCATTAGAATGAGGAATTTTTACTTTACCGAAATTAATATTTCATATGATATGACACGTGTGGCTGCCTTAAAAATGTTTACTTAAATAAAAATCCACGCAAGAGAATTGTCCATCTGGCAATGTACGCAACGATTGTGAAAAATATATATGCGATGTGGCAAAGATTCCTTTCTGCCTCATCTCCTTATATATGATGCGGAAATTTTGTTGCCATGGATACTTAGAACCTCTCTCATCTGTTCTGTTTTTCCATGAGCAAATCAAAATTTATTTTCATGCAAAGGTTAGGCATTCAAAAATGACAATGACCAAGATGCTTTTTGGTTAAAATAATTTAAGTTTTCAAAATTGATGATGGTGTATTTTTTCTCGTATTCTGTATTTTTTCTAAAATTCTTGTTCGCTCTATTCCTGTGGAATCATTCAATACAAAATTCCTGTAATATTTTCCGGCGTATAATGACGTACGTAGTACCCTCGAACAAAAAAAAATTCATTTTAATCCACAACGATTTTGACTACCATGAACGGAGGCGCAGTAAGAACGGGCAGAGAATTTACTGGAGATGTTCCATGAGGGATACGTGTAACGCGACGTGCGTCACGAGCTCTAATCTTAATGAAGAAATCATGGTGTTCAAAGTTGGCACCCACACATCATACTGTTGCAACCCTTTGAAAAAAGAACGCCACGGCAGCATAAAAAAATCTTTACAGAGAGTTCCTAGATGGATAATTCCTCTTGGAGATATAGAGACAGATTACAAAATTTGCGCTGAAAGTCATTGGGATTTGCAGAAAAAGCAAGAAGAAAGCAATGAGCAATTGCAGACAACAACAATGCTCTCTCTCTTGTACCCGGAACTTCCGCAGCCTTAAGTGGTTCTAATGAAGAGGATCCGCCTTTTGAAAGCAAGGATCAGTCGATCGAAGCACTGAATGCGTCACTTTTGTCGGTAGGAGAGTCTCCAATGAAGAAGAAGAGGCCGAAAATAAATAAAAAATACGCAAGGTCTAAAATACAAAAAGTCAACGAAAAACTAGAATTGCGAATTTTTCGGATGGCTACCTCCTCCGATAGCGGAGAGGAGGATAATGAGCTTATAGACCACTTGAAAGAAATCTTTAGAGAGCTGGACACCGGTTACAAGAAATTAATGCTCCTGCAACTTTTCCACGAATGTGGGGTCGCCGTAAACTGATGGAAGAGTTCAACGTTTCCGCCTACATCATCACACAATCAAGCAAACTTTCAGAAAGAAAGGGACTGTTGTACTCACCAAACCAGAGACTGGGGCACTCCTTACCATCGGAGATGGTGCGTCTAGTCAGAGATTTTTACACCAGTGATGACGTAGAAAGTGCCAGGTAAGAAAAACTGCATAAGAGTCAGAGACGAAGCTGGAGCCCAAATTTGTTTACAGAAGCATTTGATGCTCAGTAATTTGCAAGAACTTTATGAATTATTCAAAGAGCAAAACCCGACTATTCCCATTGGATTTTCAAAGTTTGCTGAGTTGAGACCGCCGAACTGCTACTACTAGCTGAGCCCAAAGGAACACACAGTGTATACCGAACCCGTTTGACCCCGGAAACATGTGCGGAAGAGTCAATATTTCCTGCAAATTGTGAAGCGCTCTGATGAATTGTGTTGTTCAGCAGCTTGAAGCGACCTTTTCAAAATTTTACCCAAGCGATTCCTACCGCCCCCTATTCCATTGATTTTAAATGATATAGGCTTACAAAGCCCTGAGTTTCCAGTCTCCGATACTAAGGACCAAAAGTATTCATTTCCACCGCTTTTCATCAACTGCAAGGAGACTACATCAAAGCTGCTTCGACGCACAACACTTGCCTTTAAAGCCATTCCATATATGACCTTTATTGCTCTAGCGTTCAAAAACAATTGGCCAACGGAATTTG